CTTTTTGGAAAGCTGTATTTAAAAGAAGTCTTTCTTGGTACACAGTACCTCTTTGAGAGCAAGCAGTACATTTGGTTGTTCACTGCCATAGCCTTGTAATTAGTATGATCAAATAAAAGTATGATGAATTGAATTATGAGCATGGCTTTAGTAGTTCGACATGTAGTTCTTGGAATGACAAAATAACAGTTCTTTGACTGGTCACTATTGCCTCTTGACACTTGGTTCCCTTTTCTCTTTCCTCTCTCACCATTACCCCTCCACTTCCAGATCTTGTCAGTTTAACCTCCAAAGTATGTATCCTTAATCTGCCCATTTTAGTTCATTTCCATGGCCATAGCCCAACCCCCTATCCTCTTTTTCAAAGGCCACTAGAATCATTTTGAGAGGCAGATATGATTATTCATCTCTGATTTAAGACATTTTATTTACTTCTTATTTGCTACAAGATCCTTCCAAGGCCAGTGAGGTCCTAGCTGCTATAGCATTTACATTTGCCTCCTCCCACTCACATCCCAATGTGCTCTCTCCTTTTCTCTGTGCTTTATCGATAATACCTTTTATTCTATCCTGACATGGTCTTCCTGCCACCGGGACTTTGTGTGTGTGTGTGTGTGTGTGTGTGTGTGATATGGCCACTTTCTGGAATGCTCTTCATTACCTGATCAATGTTTATCTAGGTACTTCCTACTCATCTTTCAGTTTAGGTCCTTCTTCAGAGCCTTTCCACTCTCTCTCTCTCTTATAGAATTTATTACAACTGATTATCTGATCAACTCATCATTTCATAATAGGTTGTAAAAAAAATCTCAATTCATTCAAGAACTGGGGCTGGCTTTGTTTACTTGTTTTATGATTCTCTGATAACTAACACAATGCTTGTGAAAGAGCCTTAGTAATATTGGTTATTGAATTAATGAGCCAAGGGATGATTGAGGGAATAGAAGAATGGATAGATGATTGAACTACCCATCTGGGACGAAGAGAGCCCTCTGGACTTACTTATTCCTGGAACCAGGCACAGATTAAAAAGCAGGATCTGGTGGTGGTGATTATTCTGTGTGTGGTTTGTTCTTCATAGTCTTTCTTTCATAATCTTATTAAGGAGGCTAAGTAAATGTTGGCATGAGAAGACATTCAGAGTGATAATTTTTTCCTAGCCTTTCACCTGTTTTCATTTTGAGATGGTAATAGGCCTGAAAGAGTAAACAGCTGACCTTTAACACCTAAATATCAGTATTTTCCAAACTTGTTCCATTGAGGGAATCACCTGGGATATTTGATATAGGAGGTCTTAGTAGAGATAGGGATCTGCATTTTAAAGCATAAGTTAAGACAAACTTGGGAAACACTGCCCTGGACTTACTATCTGATAATTGTATATTACTTAAAAAAAAAAGTATGGGCCACTTAAATGAACTTGAATCTGTGAAATCAGTACATTAGAACTTGATTATTTACTTTTGAACTGTTTCTTTTCTCCTATATAGTAACTGATTGTTTTTCTGTGTATATGGGAACAATTTATAAATTATTTGTGGGTTCAGTTATTTTATAATTGGGAATCTTTGAATTTATTTGTATTTGGAAAACATTAAAAAATAAAACTATGGAGGTTATTGAACTTTTGAATTTACTGTGAGACTGATATTTGACTTGTTAAACCTATGGTTAAAAATGTTTTCAGAGAAATTGACCTAATGAAAACTAATGTTGAGGATAATGTATCTTTTGCATCTTGAAGGTACTGATCTGATAAATAGGCCAAAGTTATTCTTCTATTACCAAGTCATGTAGAAAATGATAAATGGTACCTTTGTCAAATAGCCCATTTAAACGGTATTTTAAATCTCTTGTGGAGATACATAAAGGAGTTAGTAAAGGTGTTTTGATGCTGGGTGAAAGATGTCATCAAAGAGAAATTAATTTTACCAAAGGGCTCATGTCAAAGCTGGGTATGAATGAATGAAACATGTCAAGCAGGTTTACTATTTTATGATTGCTGTGGTAGTAGCTCCTCACAGAAGCAGTTAGCACCTTGGGCCAAACATGTTTCTTGGGTACCAGATGTGTGAACTCATAAACAATTTAATGTAAGATTACAGTTGGTAAATGAGTTTGAAAACATGTTTTTAAATTGCTTATTTTCTAATGTTAGTTTGCAGTTACATTTATTTCAGTTAGATATAAAAGATTCCTGGCTTGGGTGAATGTTCTGTGTTATGTGCATGATAGGTTGCTAAAGTTGTAAAAAGATGACTGGTTTTTCTTCTTTATTGCGCATACGTATAACTCATTGATGTCAATTACCATAGGTCATTAAGAATTAACCAGTTCAGGCCCAGCTGCCCTGGTGCAGTAGTGTGCTCACTCTGTGGTGCTGGAGCCATATGGGTTTGGTTCCGGGTCAAGCAGTAAATGCCAGACACACTCATGCTTCTGTCCATGAAGCTGAATAGTCAAGAAGACTGAGGGGACGATTGTGATATGGGGCCCTGCTGAGGGTGCATCTCCCCCCAGCCCCCTTTTAGCTCATAAAATAGATAGTAAATGAACAAACCTAAAAAAAAAATAAAATAAAAGGATTAGCAATTCAAGTTAATATTTGTCTTTTCCCTGTGATATATTAAATATTTTTGAGGGATTTAGTCATTGGGATATTTTTAGATCAGTTTATGTGAAACTGGAGGTCAAGAACATTTAGTCATAAAAGTTAACTTTAGTGATTTGCAATTATCAGTTTTTTAAAAAGTGAAATACAACAGACTAAAATTATAGCCTATTATATAATAAAAAAAAAAGGTTTTTTGAAACTTTTCAGTTATTTGCCATGATGTGAGTGTGTGTGTGTATATAAATGTGTATGTGTTTGTGACTACTTGGTTGAAATATAAAATATTGTTTCTTCATGTGGAATATGGTCAAAAAGTCTAAAAGCCATTGTCCTAAATTGTTAACTTTGAAGAATTACTTTGCTCTGTTGGGGCCAGAAAACTAAGTTCATCATTACCATGTCACCACCCTCTTTTGTATATGTCTTCAAAAGGAAAATTTCTTAAAAGTAAAATGAGAACTGGAGTCTTTTGGATGAAACTATATGCAGGTGGTTTCATAACTACAACAATTTGTGTGTCACATAGGTAGTAAAACCCTTTCTTCACGTTTTTTTCTCTCTTATTTCAAGATTAAATTACATAGTTCATTGGATAAAATCTTCAGAAAACAGTATATGGACAGAACTTGTGTATCGTTTTTCTGCTTTTTAATATTTACTTATTTTCTCTCTGCCCTTCCTTTTTTCCCAATGAACATATTTCTTGATTTTTTATTCTTCCCATTTTTTTGCTGCATTTCATTTTTATAATATTGTCCCAATTGTGCTCTTATTGATAGCATGACTTTTAGGAACTTAAAGAAGAGCCAAAATAACATGCATGCCTTTCTAATACTTTCTAATTTCAGGACCTTTTTGGACTTGCTTCAAGAGGAGAAGAAATCGCTTAGAAACAAACTTACCTCTAGTTTTAGGGGTGTACAAGTCTTATGATTGTGTCCAAGAATTTTTTACTTGTTCTAATTTAGTCTCAAGAAAGGAGAAAATCAGGAGAATTCTATAGGAACCCCCTTTCTCATAATTTTCTCCCTTCCCCTACTTTTTCCAGTCTTGAGTAGCACATGGAACTTTTCTAAGTAAGACACTACACAAATCTGATCATTATCTTTCCCAGACAGCAACGTTCATTATCTGTTGTACTGCATTTGGCTCCATTTGGTCGGAATGGGTAATATCATGATCCTTACAATCTTACTTTTCCTTGAATGGAGTAGTTAAGAGTTCTTCTGATTCCTAGAAAATCTGAAGATTAATCAAATGGCTACAGGGCTAAGTGAGGATTGGTAATTATATGTATTGCATTCACATATAGTGATTTCTTCCTCCCTTTGATTAGCATAGATTTCATTGTTGTATTAGGGTCAGTTTGGCTCCTATATATCAAAGCCCAGTATGGCAGCCTTTTAAACATTCTTGAAAGTGATTTAACTCTCATAACAGTCCATTTAAGCCGTGCAGAACAGTTAATTGTGATTCTGTGGCATCGGTGACCTAAGATCCTTCTGTTTCCTTGCTTTCTCAACTTTTCCCCCTATCTTTGTTTCTATCTTGAGAGAGAGAAAGAGAGAGAGAGAAGGATAAATCCCCATTAGGATCTCATCATGCTGCAGTCCTTTTCCCAGCGAGTCAAGATCACAGGCGCATGTGGGTGCACTCATCGTGTTTCGGTGGACCCAGGGTCCAAACCTGTGTCTCCATGTGACTCTGGTAACACAGTGGTGCTCTACTGTCTCCACTACTGCTGGGTCTGCTTTGCCATTTTTATTCTAAACCTTTTATCTCATAGTTAGAGATGACTATTTCTGCTCTTCCCACAACATTGTTGTTATTATGATTATTAAATGGAAGAACAAAAAGGGAAGGACATGTTCCTTTTAAGGGCACAACCTAGAAGTAGATCTTTTTTTTTTTTTCCTCTCTTATGCCATTGATCAGACCTTGTCACATTGTCATATGTAGCTGCAAGGAAGACTCAGCTATATTCATCTGAGTAACCACGTGGCACATGACTATAGAAGAGAACTTACTGTTGTAGAAGGGAACAGTTATGAGGGATCCAGGGATCCTCTCCACTATAATAGTCAGTAACAGAAAAGGGTTTAATTTTGCAATGCTTTTGTTTTCTTCTAACTTATTGTTGTTTTATGGGGAGAAATGTTCCCTTGAAATTATCAAGTGGACTTGAGCTACTGAAAAAGTTAACCTGAGTTAATGTATTTGTCTTTGGGACTTTTAAGTCAAGTTTATTCTAACATTTACAGGGGATGAGTGTGAGAAATACTGAGATAAGGTTACTTTTCTTTAACTCTTATTTTTCTTGTGCCGTTTCTTTCTTTTCCACCTTGCTCGAGGCTAATTTTGTACTTGTTTTTCTTCCTGTTTTTAGGTATGGCACAGTCACAAGGCTGGGTGAAAAGATACTTCAAGGCCTTTTGGAAAGGCTTCTTTGTGGCAGTGCCTGTGGCCGTGACTTTCTTGGATCGGGTCGCCTGTGTGGCAAGAGTGGAAGGAGCATCAATGCAGGTGAAAAAGAACACAACTTCATTCTAGAAAGCACATATTTCCTTTTTTCTCAAGCACTAAAAAGGAGAGTGCCAGTTATTATTTCTATGCTGGGAACTGAAAGGTTTTAAAAAAGGCATTAAACTGAAATTTTACTTTCCTAAATTTCTTTATAACGCCCTCTAATACCGTCATGTTATCATCAGAGAAGAAGTGAATAAAAATAACTACCCAATATTTCTGTGTGTCTATAGTCTGTTTTTTTCCCCTGAGAACTATAAATGGAGATTCTGAAGGCATTTTACTAAATGACACTGTTATCTGTGAATATGGCCGTATTTGAATATTCTTTTAAAACCAGATTATTAGTACAGTTGCAGGATGGGTCTGGGTCATTGATATGTAATTTTAGTTTTTACTGCGCTCTTTAAGCATGCCCCTGATGAGAAGGTTAAGTGTAGTTACAGGGGAAGACCTTTGGAGTGGAGCTTTCCAAAAGTTGCATCTAGTCTATTGCAATAGCTTAGAGAAAACTGTGTTGTCCTAAAGTTGATGTCTAAAACTGAGCCATTTAAGTAAGTTTATGCAGTTGAACAGAATGTGCATTTTGCAATGATTTGGTTTCTTCCATTATTAGCAAGTATTAGGGGCATGCATAGTGTGAAATAGCTATATAAAATAAATAAAATTATACATGTTTCTAAGAGATTAAAATTATACAGAGAATAGCCAGCTTAATTTTCTGTTTGTTTGTTGAACTAGCTAAGGGCGTAGGCATCAGCTTTAGGAGTTGGAATGAATTTGCTTAATTTATTGTAATATGGTACTGTATTGAAAATCAAACCTCTTCCTAAGTTCTGGTAGTCAGTGAGCTAAGGAAGGCCCAGTGGATCCTTAGGGTATGTGCTCTTTGGATGAAATCAGAGGTTTAAAGCAGACTTGCCTTTATATATTTCTATCTCCATCATTGGAAGGTGGTCAGGACCTTCTCTAGGCAGGGAATTCTGATCTTAATCCTTATCTTTCAGATTCCCTCTGTGGTGAGTCACTAGCCCAAAGCAAAATGGCCACTTACTTTGATTACAAAAATATTTTAATTCAGCAATACAGTATACACAGGAAAAGAGATAATACAGGTGTGTGGCTTTATTTCTAAATACAGTGTGATATATTTAACATAGACTGGATTTTGCACTTCCTGCCTCTGTAATTTTGAATTTCTGGCAGCCGTGTCTTGGACCTAGTCCTTAGGGGAGACTTTCTTCATTGAGCTTTTGACCAGATCCTTCAGATTAAAACTGCCTTCTACATAATCACTCAAATCACTTTGTGGTCCCTAGTATCCCTTTGATCCATCTACTGGTATGTGTCTTTTGATAACAAACAATCAGATTAACAGATATTTTTCTCCAGTATCATTAGGGCTCTCTTGCTATACAACCATCACTATCCTGAAGAGGATTTTTCCAGAATATAAAATCTCCTTGCTTTGGATTTGATGATATTCCATAGGATCATGGGCAGTCATAGTATCCCAGTCTTTATATTTTAAAATCAGTATATTCTGGACCAACAATTATGTTCATAGCTTATGTTGATAGCCAACGAATTCATTAAAAATATTAGATATGGTTCTTACCCACAAGAAACTGTCTTATGAAACAGAAAAGCTTATCCCCAGTGAAGAAGGCAGTTTAGACAGTGTTAAATCATGTCATCCCTAAATGCCAATCCTTGGAGGAATGCCAGGTTTGCATTAGACGTGTAAGAGTTTGTGAATGTGGGCTAGTCCCATAGTCTGGTGATTGGGGTTTGGAGAAGCTTGATTCCTACTACAGTTTGAATCTGAGCTTTGGTGTTTTGAAAAGTGTGTGGTGCACATGTATCCGAAATTCCAGCAGGATGGGGAAATGGAAGAGAGGGGATTAGAGCATGGCCATGCCCTTCTGGGCTTTCTCTCTCTTCCTCTCTCTCTGTCTCTCTCTGCCAAATACATGTGCCCTCTGACTACTTAAAAAAAATTAAAATGGAAAGAAAAAAAAAAGGGGGGGGGAAAGAATTTGTAGATAAAGTGAATTTCTTATAGTATTCCTGGGTCCCCACTCCCAAACAATCAAATTTATTACCTTAGATTTTGTTCAACATATTATGTGTAATTTCCTTGGCTATTGGTTATGAGAAAATAGCTCAATACAATTTAGGTATAAAGAGGGATTTATTACAAGGCTTATTATATTCCCATGAGGAGGGTAGGAGTATGGAAGTTGTCAGGGACTGCCAGAGCTCCCAGCATCCTTCTGTTTCTAAGTTTTGCTCCTTTCTGTATCTTGGCTTAGTTCTTTCAGACCAGCTTTCTCTGTGTGGCAGGGCACATGGCTGCTGGCAGCTCTCATGACTTAAGATGCCCGGTTTCAACACTACCTGAGGGGGAACGCTCTTTCCTTAATTTCAGTTTGAGAAAGCTTGGAGAAGGTTGTGATTGATTCCAGTGGGTCACATACCCTTATCTGTACAAATCATGTACAGTTCATCTGTGGCCACCAGGGTCCATCTTTGGACAGGTGCACACCTCCAGCCTGTGGCGAGGCTGGGAGATCTGTAACAAAATGATGGTGTCTATTTGAACCATTTTTTGTGGGAGTTGGGGGGGTGGAATACAGGTGATATTTTTTCAGAGGAAATGGGATGCTATTTTCAGAATAGAAGTAGAAAAGATATTCTAGGAGAAAAGGAAAAAATATATGTTTGTTACCGTTGGGTTTATAGTTTATGAATTTTAGACTAATTCTATAATAGATACTTTATTTTACAGTTTTATTAGCTATCACTAAATCATACTTAAAATTATTTAAGAGCAGAAATTGCAGGAATGACATTTGGGGATTAACTAATTTAGCATATTTGTAGACATCTTTGCTGCTCTGCAGCTTTGATGAAGTGAACATGTTTAGACCATGGTGTTCAGCAGAATTTTTGAGAGTTGGAATAAATTCCTGTCTTAAAATTTCTTTAATGACTTAAGTACTGAAATAGCTGGCAGGGTGTGGAGCTCTCTGGAAGTCCCTGAGAACCCTGCAAGAAACACATGTGCTTATCTTGACTCTGAGACCTGATAATTATATCTGGTGTAAAGCATTTGGGTGGCTTGTTGTGAAGAGAAGGAGTACTCTGGATGTGTCATTATGTCTCTTTGTACCAAGGCTTGGAAGTATGAAACAAAGACAGAAAAAGGGAGGAGCAAGGAAGAAAAGAAGTATAGAGGAGAAGAAAGCAAAGAACATATATAGATTGGCAGGGTGATAGATGATGACTGATAAAATTAGATGGGGTAATGGGATAGGAGACTGTGGCACAGTGACAAAGAGACTTAAGACAGAAAAGTGCTACAGTGATGGGGGTCAATTGGCCTTTCTGAGGTACCTTTCATGCTTCACATCTCTGCTGCAAGTTGGTGTGTAGCACTGGTGGGAAGTGCCATCTGGGTGCGGATTCTGCAGATTCTCAATATTCATCTAAGGAATCTGAGAGGCCACTTCGAAGGAAATAATGTTTATGTAGATTACCTTGACTTGAACATCTGTCACTGCGGAGTATGAGGAAGTCTTCAAAAAGACTATGGAAAATGCATAGTATGAAAAAACTATACATGGATTTTCAAACTTTTTCACATAAGAATAAATTCATACTTGAATTCCATTTTTCCACAGACCTTTTGAAGTTCCTTCCTACTTTAGTTTTCCTGTACCTTCAGGTAGAAAGATCCAGTCTAGTCATTTATGTCATTTCAAATATGTGATTGATTGTCACTGGTAACTGTGTTGGAATACAGAGTTGTTTATCAACTGCCAGTAAGAACAAAGCTCTATCTTAGATGCTCCAGGAGGTGGTAAATCAGATGTAGATTCTGCCTTCGAGGCGCTTTTACATTAGTGCAGCAGCTCAAGAATTATTAATGCTGGATGATGGGTACATCTTCAGATGAGATTAATATTGAAGCTGTCAAGCTGTTAGATATTTCGTCAATGCCTAATATATCCAGAAATGGGCTTTAACATACTATTTCGACAAATGGTCCTGGAAATTTTAATTTGAAACAGCAGTATCAGAAAATGATACCTTGAGCCCTTTTTTTATTGGCCTCTCTATTAACTTTTATATGGCAATGGACAGCCCCAAGGTTTCAGTGGTTTACCTAACAAATTGTTATGTCTTGCTTGTGTGTATGGGTTGGCAGTGGTTATTCTAGGCTATGGATTTGGTTCAGTTTGCTCCAGGAGCTGCCAGGAGTTTGCTTTTATAGGTGATAGCAGGACACAAGAGAATGAGTAAAAATACTTAGAACCTCTTTAAATTTTTCCTTTATTCATGATAAAGTGTGTACATGCACAAATGAGAGAGAAAGAGAGAGAGAAAGAGGGAGAGAAGGTGAGGCAGTGAGAGAGAGAGAGAGAGAGAGAGAGAGAAAGAAAGAAAGAAAAGAAGGAGATGAGGAACCTTTAGAGGGTCTAGTCATACCCAGATCAAGTTCCTCCAGACCTCCAGCCCGTTGGATCCTGGGCACTTGCATGGGTACCTGTGTGGTACAGACTGATTGGACTGGGCATTTGAACGACTGTTGTGTGTGATCCGCTTCCTTTGAGCAGTCCATTACTGCTGCACCACAGAACTGGCCCACACTTAGAACCTCTTTAAAGCTTCAGTTCAGAGCTTCTACCGTTCTATCCATATTTCATTGTTCAAAGCAAGTCACCCATAGGGAAGCCATGGCAAAGATTGAGTGAGAAGGAAGAATTGTGAATAAGTAAGCACATCTACTTTAGCCACTAGGATTCCAAGGACATTTTTTCTTTTTGGAGAGGCTTTTGCTATAGGGCACGTGCACTCGCCAGACAGACAGAGAGAGACAGAGAGACAGAAAGCGAGAAATCACTCCCCAGGGGGGATGACCATGCCGCAATCCCTTCTCCTTCATTCTCCTCTCTGGATCTTGGGCACGCATGCACACGCGCCTGGCGTGTTTT